AGTTGCAGTCACCGTGGTCATCCATCAGTCTTAAACACAGCATATTCAAAGACAGCACACCGCAGCTCTGTGCTTATCCCCGTCGCCTGCCTCCCACCCATTCTCTTTGTGACCAAGCCTTTGGTCCAGAGTACCTGCTGATACACACCAGCGTCAGTTTCTCCTCTCTCCGCGTCCCTACAGACCCCTTCTTTCATCTTCCCACTGGTGTGGTCTCCGTCTGTAATGCTGGGGCGGCCCGGCCCTCCCCCTGCGGGCCTTTGAAGTCCAAGTCTACCCTCCCAGCCCGGTGGTCGCCCGAGTCCCTCCCCAGCTGCCCGCGCGGCCTTGGCCCGAACTCACATCTTGCCATTTGTCGTCCTCTTCCCTCAGCTGGTTATTTATCAGCTGCAGCTGCTCCTGGCGGGCCCTGCTGTGCGGCAGCACCGCTGCCTCCTCCTCACACCGCATGTCAAACATACTCGTGCTCCTGATGCCGAGAGAGAGAGAGCAAAAACAAAAAGCGAGCGCGATGAGCGAGCGGGCGGGCAGGCTGCAGGCTCCTTTCGCCACTGAGCATCGCCGCCTGGGGGCGCTACCGGGCTGAGAGCCGCCGCCTCTTCGCGGCTCCGCAACGGGGAAGCAGTCACCAGCAGCCGCAGCACAGCCTAGAGGGGATGTCTTTGTCCTCATCAGTGACCCTGAAGGGGGCAGCTTTCTAGAAAGGTGCCAGATAAGGGCTGGGAGAAAGCATCCGAAGGCCTGCACTCTTCTCATTTAAAGGTATCTAATTGAGGGAGAATTTGCGGGGACCGGCACATGGCCACTGCAGTGTGACTTCGTGGTGGAAAGAGAGGGCTGGCCTGATCTACATGCCCAGAGACAACTTCTTCATCACTTAAAAAAAAAAAAAAAAAAAAAAAGCACAGGGCCTCAAGAGTAAGACACCCACTGTTGCATATTTAAACTGATGCTGGGCAGGCTGTGGTTATTTTTTTCTTCTCTATACAATTATGTAATTGATAGTACATCTTGGAATCAAGAAAATAAGGCATTCTGTAATAAGCGGATGGGATAAATATATAACTCGGGGTACACTTTGTACCCTAATGTGTTTACAATCGTTTTGGTTTATTTTTTTGGTCAGGATATTTTTTTAACTTACTTTCGAAGGCAAAAAGGGCAGGTAACGAAGACAAGCAAACCTTTCGGCTGTGCGTGTGGTTGATAAATTCCGTGGGAGCTCCCTAAGACCACGCACGGGGGCTCTCAACAGACCTGTTAAGAGCAAGCACTGACTGACGCAGCAGGGAAGTAGCGGCCACGCAAAGCCCTCCTCCCCACCCCACCCCCTTAAAGAAACCATAGGCTCTGAGACGGAATGGATCACACGGGTCGCGTAGGCAAGAAGTAATGGAGACCCCTTGCAAGGTCCCCTAGGTGTAGAAGATGGCAGTAATCCATTGCGGAAGCCAGCGTAACCTCTGGGAAAAACAAGAACAAAGCCATGCGCAAAGGGCGGCAGCACCGTTGGATGGATCTGCATGGATGGCTGGGTTCCTCGCCCCTTTCTCCAGGTGCCGGACGTATAACATCTAACCTGAGACCTAAAACTCAAAGACTGTCTTCCTCCAGAGGGTTCTAGGGATCCAACTGCAAAGACTTCCTTTTGAATCTGAGGGTTCTGTCAGGAGAGGGGTGACAGGGCACAGTGGGAAGCTAGCTGCTGTTGCCTTCTCTCCTGGGAATGCTGGTTTCCAAAGCCCTGCCTTGTAGAAAAATAAACCTCCCCCTCCCCCTCAAAGGGGAAAGGGGCCGGGGTCTTTTTCATCTATTTTACACTACTTACTAATATCAAGAAAGGTTTGGGAATTTACAGGGTTCAGAAGAAAAGTCTAGCCTGTGCTGTTTTTTGCTTTTTTTTTTTTTTTACTTTAAGATAAAAAATCACCTAAGTAGGCTTTTTAGAAATAGACTGAAACTCATACACTTTAGAGTTAAAAGGGGGGGGGGGGAAGGAGAGGGAAATTTTATCCTTAAAATATCCAATCCATCCAGTTATTCTTTAAGGCAAATTACGATTTCTACTAAGGCCTTTGGATGTGTAAGCGTCTCTGAGCTGAGTATCTTACAGGACCAAGCAGTCAGCAAGGTGTGGAGAGGGGAGACCTCTCATTCTGCTGCCTGGGAGTTCCAAAGGGCGGAACTCTGGGTTGCCGAGTAGGTGGCAGTGGCTTCTGCAGGGGTGGGAAGGAAGTAGCCACCTTCTCCAAGGTGTGGGGTTCAGCCCGCTCGCTAGATGTTCATGGAGGGAACGAGAGGCCTCGGCCTCCTTCCTCGGCCTTGATTTTCTATCTCTGTTCCCACCTCGAAGCTCTGACTTACCCCAGCCCAAACGCGGCCAAAGGCGCGACAATTAAGTGGCCCTCACTTGCCTGCTCCTATAGCAGGAGGAACCATCCCTTCCCCCTTCCCTCCAATTTAAAAGAAATCCTAACAACTTCATCCCTATCCTTTCATTTTAAAAGACATTCTAACAACTTGCCAAAAAAAAGGGAAAGAAAACAGCAAAATTGTGACATTTTTGTCATTTATTAAAAAAAAAAGAACTGAAATAGTTGAAAATTGACAATAGCAGAAAATGGGCCGAGTCACCGTTTAGAAAATGTTCTTCAGTTCAGAGGCTGAACTTCACATCTGAATGAAGAAGTGTGGGTCTGGGTGTGGGGTGGGGCAGAGATGGCGTGAGGCATTCTGGAGAAACCAGCCTCCAGAATACTGTGACCTGGACTCCACCTGTCCTCAGCACCGATGCTTATGTCCCAGGCTGTTGGGACACAGGTCGCTGGTTGTAGAGCCCAAGACTCAGTTGGGTGCAAGCGAACATTTTTGAGAGATGGGCCTGACCTGCCTCTGGTGGCACCCGAAGATGGTTTCTGAGGTAAAAGTCTGGAGTAAAAAAGTTCAGAATAAAATGCCTCATGGTGCTCCCAAGAGGCAGGTTCCTCTGGCAGAGGCAAGTGGAGAGAAAAGGAATGTTCAGTGGAGTAAAGGGGAGGAGGTGAAATTAACTTACAGAGATACTCTGGATGGGCCAGAAGGTGGAGGGTTCGCCATCTCTATGGTAGGTCTACCCTGACTGCCATGTTATCAGGACACATTGTGTTGTCACTGGGCTGTATCTTAATGTGACAATTATTAATCACTGTAGCTTATGTCAGTAATTGCCTTTCAAGAACTTGGAAAAAGGAGAGGGGGAAAAGTAAGAACTGTACACATCTCTAATTTAAAAATGAACTCTTGGTAGCACCTTTTGCTCTTGTTCCCATGTGACTTCACATCAACTGTGTCAGCTCTAAGCAGTTAATCTGGCACTTTGTATATTCTCAAATCGAACCTCTGGACAAGAAGTTCCTTGACCTCTTCCTGGTCCACAGGACAGTTTAATAAACACTGGAGAGGGAAGCCCTGCACCTGGTCCCTTTAACTGGCCACTAAGCTTTGCTGTGGCCGAGGTTTCAGAGGCAAGTGTGGGGAAGATCTAAACTCCTTTGAACATAGCTTTCTTCCCTTCACCTTTTAGGAGTTCCCCAAGATCTGCTTTGGGCAAATTGCATGGCAGCTTTGCATCGTGAAGAACAAATCCAATCTATCACAATGTTGCTGCTCACCAGATCCGAGTAGTGTCTCACCTGTCAATCTCACACCCTCCTCCTGTCAGGGATGTGAAATATTGCCACTGCGGGGTTCACGAGTAAGAGCCGGGACTCGGTCTCAGAGACTGCTTAAGTCAAGCGCAGGCTGAATTTCACTTTTGAGGCATGGAGGTTCTGTCTCCCAGGTAACCATACAGTTCTAGATTGCCCATCACAACTTGGGGATGGAATAGGAATGTTTAGGGCTGAGGGTCGAAACTAGGCTGACGTCTCCAACACGAACATGGGAAAAGCACGATGGGAAAACATCGTTTAAAGTCCTTCCTCTGCTCACACACCATTATTGTGCCATCTGTGGGTTCTACACCCCGATTTAAACTCCTCTCTGTGACCTGGACACCTTGGCCAAGAAGAACAGGCAGCATTCAGCCTTCCAGGGACGGAGTCATCCCTGTCCAGGCCACACGCTTTTGTGTAACAGATGTCAGAATGAAATATTAAATCCTGTTCCTTGAAAGACCAATTGTTCAGACCTGAGAAGGATATTATTCCGAAAACCCCTTCTGCCTTATGTATCTGGTGCAGAATGATCTGCTCACAGGAAATCCAGCTGTGGGACAGAGTTTTAAGGTCACAGATGGGACAGTTCGGATTCTTCTCGAACTGGGATGTGAGGTGTTGAGTGAGGGAGAGACCCCTGTGTGGGAGGAAAAGCCAGTGGCAGGCAGAGGAACCCAGGTCCTGTTTTATACCCCTGACCCCTTACTATGCCATGGGACTTGAACAAAACCCCAATGTTTGGGTCTTAAGCATCCCACAGTTTATATGACTCCAACCTGGTAGGGACTTGGGCTTCTGAATCTATAATTAGTGGTTAGGATTTATTTTCTTAGTTGTGTGGGGGGGAGGAGGAATGTGACTGTAGGAATGACTACTTCATTGTGTATGCTAAGCCCCAGTGCATTAGGGTTAAACTGCAAAACTCCTGACACCCCTTTCCTAATTCCATTAGTTCCCTGACTTCCTAATGCAGAAAGGGTACCAATGTCCAAATCAAAAGAGCAACTTGAGCCATGCCCAGCTACAAAAAATGGAAAGCAAAGCTGAAGCATCAGCTCAACATTAGCATCAGGTTTACGTTGCTTCTTCCTCCTCCCTGCACGGAACGTACTCTGCCTGGTGGCCCCACATGCTCTGCTGTGGACTGGGCCCACCATGCAGCTCGCTGCGGCATCCGGTGCATGCCAATTAGTGGTAAGTAGTGAAAGCATGCAGTTTAGGCTAGTGGTTAATGTAATCCTACGAATGCGACGCCACTTACTCTGCGTCATCTGACACAGGAGTTCTCGGACCGTATCTACAAGATCAAATAAGAAAAAAAAAAATTAGAGGGTTGGCAAAGAGTGGATGATGGGACCGACCTGAAAAAGCAAACTGTGGCAGAAATCAGTTTATGTATACCAAACCTTCTTGGCTGATCATGCTGAAAGAGAAATGTCATCACACCAATAGCAATATTCATTAGCTACTGAAAAACTAAAGCCTCGATATTTCCAAAGGGTATGACGTTTGTGTTAAAACCCAGAAGAGAAATCAAAGAATCCCATGCTGCCCACAAAGAAAAACTCTATCCAACGTAAACATAAAGAAGCTTAGGTGTAACCCACGGTGCTTGGAAAAGGCAGCTTAAAACACAAGCACACCATGGTTGGCCGGCCACAAACAGTTAAACCGCTCATGCCTCTGTGTCGGTGGTAATGGACTGTAATGGGCATGCAACATACACGCACCCTCCCCCAGCTGACCTGATGTGTTAATGCATCTGCACAGACAACATCAAAGACTAGTTCTACAGTTTTCTAAGAGGAAAGCAGAACTTCAGCCAGAACCCCCAATCAGTACCTTCCGTCTGCATTTGACAAAAACCACAATTCCTAGAAAACGGGTTGTCTTAATCAAAACCAGACTGAGGCTATCCCACAATGGAAAAGACCAAAGACTTTCCTAATCTTTTCTTTTCTTCTGATAATTTTCGTTTAGAAAGCTGTATCCTCTGTGATATGTTAGGTCTAAATGTGTCTACACAGCAGACAGGATTTAAGAAGAGAACATCACCCTATGGAAGCACACATCTGGATGGACAGCTCCCATGAACATACCCTTGAGCAAGGGTCAGAGTTGAAAGGCACCGTCCTTCTCTGTTCCTGAAAGGCTACTTCACTCTGGCATTCTGAATGTAGATAAAGAACTGTAGCTATAAGGAGCCTCTATCCTGCTTCTAGCTTCCCCGAAATCATACCTCCAAACTGTCAGCAAAACATTACCTTGTTCCATGATTAGTGTCCTATCAGGTAATTTCTGAAGGTTTCTTCTCGTACGTTTAGAGAAAGTACCCCACAATGTACATGTGTACACACACACACACACACACACACACACTTCTTCAACTTTCATCATTCTAGAACATTCTAACTTATTGGTAATTATTATTTTGTTTACAGGGAAAGTAATCCATACGTGGGTAAACCCCCAGATTTCTGTTGGAATGGCCACAGCAAGCCAAGGAAAGGGCTGTGAGCCTCCTCCTCTGCGATGGAAGACTCATTCTGTTCTCCACGGGCATTTCCAGAAGGTGTTAGTTTAAGTAAGAGTCTCAGTGTGCCCCAAATGCCACAACTGCAAAGCGCATGATGAGGATCCTCCCCACCAGAGAGAGGAAACATAAGCAGCATCAATCGTAAGTTCTGGATACCTGGGCTTCAGTGAGTAAAAAGGTCTTGGAATACACGTATTCAAACGCGGAGCTTGCTAACCCATCTTTGAAAGGGAAGTTATTCTTGAGGGAAGATTAATGGGGAATAGCTAACCAGCAGTTGTGTGGTTTCGTGTCATGATCTGGACGTCTTATTCGTGTCAGATTGAAGCAGAGTGTAATTTGGACAGTGAACTTATGCACACACAGTCTCACGCTAGCTAACACCTCTACAGTGTTGGCTTTGGGGTATATCTGAATTTCAACTGTTTCTTCACAGAACAATTAACAGCACTCATGGACATCTGTGCAGATAAGCGGATTCCTACAAAATTCTAAGTCTCACTATGCAAGAACTTTCCTGATTGTCTTCCCTCAGCAGTGGCCAGAGGAGGCCCCTGAGGGGTATTTTGGAGCACTGGAAGGAACAGGCACGCCCTGAAGATTGCCTTCTTTTATAGCCCTTTTCTGTGTGCTCCTGGATCTAAGGAATTTCCTCTGACCAATCTGTTAGAGGGCACAAATGTAAGTAAAACTGCCTTTGCTGGTAAGAGGAAGATAATTAGCACTTGGGATTCAGGGGCTTTTTTCAGTTATCAAACATCTCTCTCTCTCTCTCTCTCTCTCTCTCTCTCTCTCTCTCTCTCTCTCTCTCTCACACACGGTTCTTCAATGCAAAGAAGAAGAGCCAGTAGGAATGGGCAGCCTATCAGAAGAGTCAGTTAACCAAGTCCCAATCTGAGGGCAGGGGAAGGTAACAGAAACAAGTCAGATACTGACTGACGGACGTCTTTATACAACTCCAGGCTCTAACAGAGCATCTCAGAATCCACAAGGATCCAGCGGGAGGTCCCTGTACGCCAAACTAATTTGAAGTGAGAGCTGACAATGGCTTTTACCACTCACCTAGGCCATGCACTCAGACGTGCGTTCTGCACATAGTAATTACTCAGTAAACCTTTGTCAAAAGGAAACACAAATTCTCAGAGTTGTGGGGGTTGGCTCGATAGAGGAGCATGGCATGGGCTGGGAGACGGCTCAGCAGGTAAAGGGGCTTGCCACCAAGCCTGATGACCCGAGGGTTTTTTGTTTGTTTTTGCTTTTTAGTAACTCACATGTTAGAAGGAAAGATCCAACTCCTGCAGGCTGTTCTTTGACCCCTACTGGCATGTGGGCATTCTCATTCATTCATTCATTCATTCATTCATTCATTCATTCATTCATTCATATTCTCTCTCTCTCTCTCTCTCTCTCTCTCTCTCTCTCTCTCTCTCTCTCATACAAACTCCCAAAAAAATTTTAAAGATGTCATAAAGTTCATGGGTCTCTCCACTTACATTAACTATTCATCCTAATATGGACTACAAATGAGTGGCAGATAGAATGTGTTAGGAATTCGCCAGGCCTCCGTGACTCTTCCTGTGACTTGTGTAGGCAATGCCTTGAAGTTCCCCTTCAAGGGGTTTTCCACTAAGAGCTAAGTTTAAATATTGGTGCTCTAATTCTGGGTTATGTCCTGGAGTTTGGTTTCCCATCTGCAACAGAAATCCACACTCTCAAAGGTCATGTGTGAAACCCAGAAATGCACCCAGAATGCACCAGTTCCCAGCCTGCAAGCCCCGCCTCCTTCTGTCTTTTCTCTCTGGTTTGCTCTAGAACAGCCCAGGGATCCAGAATAAAGCCTCAGGCTGGGACACCAGGGAGCTGAGTGACCATGGCGGGCAAGGCTGATCACTCAGTCCACTTTGTCACAACTTAACCAGCCTCAACCTGGGAAGCAAGTGGGACCCAAACACTTCGCTTTTCACCTGCCATGTTTCTCATCTGTGAAATGAGAGAATATCCACTCAAGCTGCCTGTGATTCTTCAGAGGTGAGCTGGAGAGAGAAGAGACACACACAGAAGAGGACACAACTTACTCCACATCTACGGTGTAAGGCACAGCTGCTGGACCTGCTCCCTGGACATCATTGTAATAAGATATTACTACTGTTATTATCCAGGAGCATAGAAACTCTGGGTCAAATCAGCTTATAAAGATGGCTAGGATACTTATTTTTTAAATTTGGATCAGTTAATGCTCTTCCTGGCCCCCACTGTGTCCTTGACCCAGGGCCATCAAGGGCTTTTGAGAAGCAGAATGCCAGTACTTTCTGCTTCATCCTGAGCTTAAGAGATAGCAAAGCACTTCTCTCTCACTGACCAGCATTGGGTAGGTATAACACACACACACACACACACACACACACACACACACACACACACACACACACACACAATTCGTCTCATTAAATGACAACACCAGCTTCCACACATAGGACCTTGAACTCCAGGATCTTAACTCAGTCAGAAAGTGGGATAGAAATCCTGCCACCAGATGGCAGTGAGGTTGGCAAACGCTGAAAACATTGCAAATTTTATGAATGTTGTTTGTCTTCTTTGGCCTGAAATCCATACAATCAAGTAAGTTGGACCGAAGTCTGACCCTTTTGCCAAAGGCTCCTCTGTGAGCCAGGAACAAAGAAGAGTTCTTCACTTAGTCTGCCCACAAGACGAAGATCAAAAAGAATGGTTAACAGGTAAACTCATTACTCAACTACTCCTCATATCTGCTTACATGCAAAAGAGAGAAACACTCGGCACTGACTGGACCAGTGTCAATCATTCCGTATCTTCTAGCCGAAGCAGGTGAGTGGCCTTGATACACCATGATGCATTAGTAATACACTCAAAGCATGTGGCAAGGCCCCAATGGGAGAAATCAAGTCACGGGGCACAGGATAACTTGAGCTCTGATCATTCCTGGGTATACCCTCAGCAGATTACATTCTGCTACTGTACAAAAGAAACTAGATCGGTTTGGATCTGGGATGTCTAGGGAGCACCCCAGTTCTCCCATCATAATATCATCTTTTCATGAATCAGCCATCTTGCTCTGAGGGCCTTGTAGTCCACAGCCACTCCAGGAAGAAGCTGTTGTCTTCGCGGGCTTTGCTTCTGTTCCCAACGGCTCCCACCCAGAAGCCAGAGGACATGCTTTAGGGCAACATTTGGTCCAGCCAGTTAGAGACCATTTACTGCTAAAGGAATTCAATAGTGTCATTTACTGACACTAATTGAGGCACGAGTGCCTGGAGACCGAGCAGCTGCATAGGAAATCCCCCTTTGAATCCGGCCAGGCCTCTGTCATGCAGCTGGTACTTGGGAAAGGTCCCTGTTCTACTTTTCACCATTGTTGAGGAGGGAATCAAGCCAGTCCCCGCCGCATGCAAAGGCTAAAATCTCCATCCAGCCTGTGCTCCAGGAGTACAACTCCAATCCTAGTGCAGACAGATGGACGGGCACATCCCTTTAGGTGACTTTACTCCCCCACTGATTCAGTCACCGAGGGCACACAGGGATGTGCAGCTCTTATCTAGGCACACAGTGGCCACACACAGCAGAGGCGGCGGCGGCGTAACACACAAAGCAGGCAGGAGGCTCACAGGGGTCCACTGCACTCCTCCGGTCTTCCCGCTCTCGGCAGCACCTCAGGCTCTTTTTGAATAACTTCTTCACTTTGTTCTCTGCCATTCTGTGGCAGCTGCGTGGGTGTAACTAGAGTCAAAGAGGACAGTTTTGTTATGGGAAGACGCTTCACCCAAAGCCTGCTTGCCTGTCAGCCACCACCTCTGGGAGGCAGGATATGCTGGGCCTCACCTTCCTCTGTCCTTGCGTTGTCGCTTTGAACGCAGACCTGCTCTTCCTGGGACTCCGGCACTGGTGCCAGGCACGGGACCTTTTTGAGACAGTCATCTGTGCCGTAACGCACTATCCTAATGTTAACCAAGTAGCATGGTGTCAGGAGACAAAAGGTAGAGGGTTATGACTGAAAGACTAAGAGAGATCCTCGGCTGTCATTCCACCGGCCAGTTAGTAGAGGTGACACGATCAGATTTAGAGGGCAGAGTGTGAGTTCTCCAAAGGCCTCAGACACACCGAGAGGGCCTGGTATGACCTGCTCACTGCAGGACTGAGTAGTGGCCCATGAGCACTTGAGGACCCAAAGCCGCATTTCTCATGCAGTTTCTCGCCCCATCCTGCTCTCAGACACAGAAATCCTGAAGCCTCACCATGTGCTCCTACCACGTTTATACGGACAGGACAGCTTTTCCTCTTTCGGTGTCCACCAGTCTGGAGCTCCAGAGATTGTACAGGTCATGGACCGCCTCCCACCTCCTCTGGGTCTCAAGGACAAAGTATTGGGAGGAATGCTATGTTTTCTTCCCCCATGAAGAACGTCACACGACCGACCGGGCAGTGGTGGCGCCCGCCTTTAATCCCAGCACTCGGGAGGCAGAGCCAGGCGGATCTCTGTGAGTTCGAGGCCAACCTGGTCTACAGGCACCAGAACTACACAGAGAAACCCTGTCTCGAAAAACAACAACAACAAAAGACCATCACATGGCTCCTACCAAGTGGATGGGATGGAGGGTCTAGGAGAAGCAGGAGAATGAGAAATGTTCTGGTCTGCCTAAGAGAAGGGAGACCCGATGACAGGCCTGAAATGCCGGAAGAGGCCCTCCAGGGAAGAGGTGAGTGCTATCTTGTCCCGTGTGTGATTTACCAGACATGCTGAAAGCTTAGGGGGAGGGAGAGCCCCCTTTTAATGGGTCTACTTGGATGTCCAAAACTGAGTTCATGATGTCCCCAAGTACCTTCTAACTGGGAGACGGGAGACGGGGATGTTGTGACATGAGCCAGGTTTTATGTATTCAGAAGATACACCGGCAGTACCATTATGATATTCCATCTAATTATTTCAAGTCGTTCAACTAATAAAATGGTGTTCAACCGTTAGGCCCAAAGGGATGTCTGTGAAGATCACTGGTCCTCTCAGGTGCTGGTTCCCATGACAACAGACTGGAAATAGACACCTGCCATTTAACCTCACGCATGTGTTTCCCCAACGATGGGCCCCTAACACTGTTTTTCTGCTGTTGTGTGGAAGAGTCTATCAAATTTATGTCATCTCTGGAGGTTCCTGTAATGCACCTCATCAAACTCGTGGCATTTTGTTGTTAGATGGTTGGTTTTTGTTGAATTTATTTTTGTTTTGTTTTGGGATTTTGGGGGGGGGGGTGCTGGGGATCTAGCACGTGCTAAGCATATGCTCTACCACAGAGCTACATCGCCAGCCCCAGGCAACTTTAAAAGCAGCATTTGACCTGCATCCCATGCAGGCCTCCTTGCATAGGAGGGAAAAAAAAATACCTGCAGTCATTCTGTGGACTAAGCATTTGGTCCTCTTGTAAGCCAAAAGGAGCAGCAGAGGTAGGCAACCGAGAGAGAGTCTGGCTTCGGCTGCTGTGACTGACAACCTCCGAACTGTCCCTAGGCCCCGCCTTTCCAATGCTGAGTCGCTTCCAAGTCTGTTGGTCTATCTCTGTCACGGGCCCAAAGTGCACAAACTTTTGCCTGGGGCTGGATGCTTTCTTATAGGCCCTTGCTTTTCGGCTGGCAAAGTCATCTCGGATGGCCGTCTC